AAACAGGTCTTTTTAATTTTGTCAGATGTGTTCATGCTGACGAGGAAACCTCTATTTCTTTTACAGTCTGCATTAATATTTCTTTCAAATTTAAGATGACTATTGTTTATCATAAAATTAAAATGTATTAGGTAAATGTGACTTCTAAAATCATTTTGATGTGACTTGAGAGAACATACTAACTAAATGGGTTGATGAAATTAAACAATTTGTAGCCCTTTTTATGAAATATAGAACATAATTTTATGATGGGAAAAAACAGTGGCTCCACTTCTACAGACACAATTTAAGAAAAAATACTGGAATCATACTAATTAGAGATGGATCAGTCAGTCCGACTCCAACCCATTACGAATGAAAGCTGGAAACATGCTAAACTGTACTGCAGTAATTCAAGATGCTATGCAAACTATAATATTCCTCAACTTTCCTTTACTGTTATACTATTCTGACTGAGGCAGATAAAAACACATGAAAGCCATGTAATTTCTTTTAAATGCATCATCTTGCATGTGGAGCTAAATCCTCATTGCTTTGCTCCTACAAAAAGGCCCACTGAAGTTAGAGGAACTTCTTGGGTACAAATATACATATAATTTATCTGATTGGTATATATAACAATTCTAATAGAAAAAGCATTTTTTCATATCCAAAGCCCACTGTTTGAATTAGTGGGGTCAGCAATCTCAAGTCTGCAGAATGTTTAAGTATTCCAATTACTCATGTATTTCTAAACAGCACACACCTTATTTGTCATTCCAGGGTCAGGGCCAGATTTAACATATATGAAAATGTAGAGCTTATGAAAGCTGCCAACAGGTCAGTCCTGGAGCTGGACTTCCTTGTTTATCCATAGAACAAATATGTATCATTCCATACTGTCTGGCTCTTCTAGAGACTCCTTGTGTAAACCTGGTCAAATCACTCAAACTCTCTTTGTCTCAGTTCCTTTCTGTAAAATGGGAATAGCAATGCTTTCTTCTCCCACCACTTGTCTAACCAATCTATTCATATGTAAGTTCTTTGAGACAAGGACTGTCTTTCTTACCTGCTTGTAAAATAAAGACCTGATCTTAGTTGGGGCCTCCAGTTGCTACTGTAATGCAAATAGTTATTATTAGTATTTTTATTGTTTTTGTTAATAATAATAAATCAGTTATATCAATAACAAATAATATGCAGACACTACACTCTGTGCGAATATCTACCAATTATGTTGATCGTTTATGTGGTGGTTTATGTGATGTACTCATTGCTGATTAATACAGGGCCTGATTTCCAGTCTGACCTCAGCTGCACATCTGTTTTATCACCTACAGTTTGGTAGGTACAGATACCTTTAGTTGTAATTTTTCCAGCATTATTATTAGTGGATGCAACTGTTACCATTTAAGGCTGTGATTTTCAAAGGAACCAATGAAATTAAATTTCAGCTGTTATGTGATCATGAATGACACGTGCCTCTGGCAGCTGGCAGGGCACGGCGGTGGTGAGAGCGCAGCAGTGGCAAGTGGGAGAGCTCCTGCAGATGCTGCCAGCGCTGTTGGCAGCAGGGGCAGGGAGGGAGATGGCAAGTGCCGACCAGGAGTCAGCAACCACCTGCAGATGCTGCCAGCAGCGGTGGCAGCAGCCACCAGGGATCGTGTGGCAGTGTGGCAAGTGGTGACCACCAACACTGTTGGCAGCGCCTTTTTGTAGGGGGTGCACCGCCACGCTCAGGGGGTGCACGTGCACCTATGTGCACCCCCTATGTGTTGCCCCTGTATGCAATGACCCTTTTTATACCAAAAATTCATTACATGTGAGGTAAAGTTACTCTTAGGTGATCGGTGTGGTGGAAGCCACACATCGTAGTTAGCTGCTTTATGCAGTGCATTGTGGTAGTCACATGCACCAAAATATAGTCTCCTATCTGGATCTGTACTCCTCACCCATTGTCTGTGATCCGTGTTTCTGTAGTTGCCATCCCCATTATGATAGTGCCCTGTGCCTGTGTATACTGTCTGCAGTTGGTGAGTACAAAAATTGTCTTGTAAAAGTGATAGAAATGGGTCTGGGGGTCAGTATAGTCGAGGTCTTGGAATGTATCCCTATTTGTTACATTGTAAAGTAGGTTCCCTTTATGTGAATTCAAGTTATGCGCTGATTTCCAGGAACGCATGAAAAGCATAAAGCAAGGGAAACCTGTACTTGCATGTCTAAATGACAGCAGTTACACCTGCAATTCTTTGCACTTGGAAAATCGTAGAAGCCAAAATAAAGGTGTAGTCAAAACAGGGCTCAAAATCAAAATTCATTAGCAATGGTGACAATGGTCTTTCTTTTCAGAATTTATGATACAAATTTTGCCATATATTTTAGTACAAGGACCCTTGGTGGACTTTTTTTTTCCTTTAGGGCAATAGAGTTTGGGAATCACCATCAAGGCTTCAGAACTGAATCATCTAAGTAGCTCCCATAAAGAATCTAGAATTATTCGTGTGGGCTTAATAAACAGGGGGCCAAATTTTTCCTTTGGAAGTGAATGACTGGCAAGCACATGGAGAAACAGGAGCTGGGTTTTCAATATCCATCCCATAAAACCTATACCATGGTAACTGATTGAATATGTAACACTAAAGCAGAGTTTCCACATTTGGAAGCTCATAAATGTAAGCCAGTTGTGTCACGTTAGACTTTACAGGACTCAGAATCGTCAAGGTTAGTTCTACATTGTTGTGTAAACCCCGGGTTTTTTTTTTTACTAACGTAAACATTCTGGCCAGTGTCCAAAGATATGACCTCTATGTGAACCTTTAACCTTCCCTTTAATTATTTGTTTGAAGACAGTGTGGAGTTCTCCTGCTGAGAATGGAGAACCATAATGCTTTGCAGCCCTCTGAGTAAGGCAGTGTTTGTAGGGAAGTGGAAAGGGACATAAATAAGGGGACCACCAGATGTAAATAATAAAAGTGATTGGGGTTTAAATAAAAACTGAAAAAGCAATTTAGTTTCCCTAAAGAGTGGCCAGATCGCTGAAAATAGGGGTTAGTAAGAAAAAAGTGGGGGAGGCTCTGTTGTCTGTGATTTTTTTACAGGCCTATACAACTGCTCATTCCATTCTTTAAAACCTTGCCATCTGTATACACCATTAGGAGCTCATAGGAGAAGAGAAAACAGTCTTATCAGGCTTTTCTGTTAATCTCTATTGGCCTTAACCTTAGCTGATAAAAGGCATGCTGGATAGAGAAGGTTCAGGTCAGCCCCCATTTGGTCAGTGGGTAACATTACTAGAAAGCAGCTAAGCAAATTAAGTCCTATCAGAGACCTTTGTCTTTGATGATGAAAACGTGTCTAGAAATCATAACGTTAGGGTAGGAAATCCAAGCCCCCTCCCCCCATGGTGAAATCATAGCTAGCTGAGGGAATAAACAACAGAATCAAATCTTTGTTTTTATTTTTAATACCTGAAGTCTTGACTCGTTACTAATTCAGAGGCAGGATGACATTTTTGACAACGAAGCTATACTTTCCTTAAAGAATAAAGAATGTCTTTGTTTTGGATGTAAACAGAGAGATGCAAAAGAGCCCTTTAGTGTTACTTACAGCATTTATTCATCTCTCTGATGGAATTCCCACTAGTATGATCACAGGAGATGCAAACAAAGGTGTACTGTCTCTTATCTGCCATGGACTTTAACCTGGGGGGAAGAGCAACACAGCAGCCGGTACTGCTTATTTCTGATGCCCAATACTTTAAGTGTTAGACTTTTATGCACCGGGCTGATGAACTGAGGTTTCACTTGTGGACTGAAAAATTTGGATTCATTTCAGTGGGGTTTGGATCAGGCCCAATGGCAATGTATGGAAGCTGTTTGGGATGATGGGCATGTTAGTATTTCTGAAGAGGATTAAACACTAGTATTCAACTTCATTAGCGCTCCTTAAGGGTCACTAGACTGAAGTCTGAACTGTGAAATAGCAGACAAAACCTCTACATCAGCCCTAAAGTGTTCTTAAAACACAAAGGGCAGGGACAAAAACAAGTGTGGCTTGTGACTGATAGAAAATAGCCTTGTTGTGAATAAAGTGTGTGAATAAAATAAGTTTTTAAAATTATTCTCCTCAGTTTGATTTTATTGCTGTTTGAGCTAAGAGGGGTGGTTGTGCATTAAGCTAATAGGAAATATGCAAACACTTCTTTTTGGATTACCGATGAAATTAAATCCAGGCTTTCTGGCCAAATAACCTAATGTTCAGATGCATTGGTCCCTACTACAGCTCTGGTACCTGGTTTGAGAAAAAAGTTATTTTGGGCCTAATAGTAAACACATGTACCTGTGACTCCCTCTTTCTAACAAGTTGAAAGGTGCCTCCATTTACGGCTGGCCGTTGCCTTATGTTCTGCCCTGGCCGCCCCCCCTCTTGGCTGAAAAGGTCGCCCCCAGCTGGCACTGACCTCGAAATGACCCCTGACTTTACAGGCTTAAACTGCAGGAGTTGCAGAAGAGCAGAAGTCTTTCTGGGCCAGCACTTATTGCTGCTGTGCTGGTGATAAAACTTCAGACAGCCTAATTGATGGCTTTGCTGACCTAACAATACCTTGTGAAAGCACAGAGTGGCAAAGCCTGGTCCTCATTTATGGCCAGCTGCAAGGGTAGCTGAATCCCCTATGATGAAAAAAAAAAGTCTTCTTGCCTGTGAACTTTAACCAGGTCCCTAGCTCCTCGAAGAAGTTAAAGAAACAATTGTCTTTTAACCCAAGTTTTCATTCATGTTTACTTGTTGTTCCAAGCCTTCTAGTAAATCCAGCCTAAAGCTGGCCAGTAAGATAAGCATTTTACAAGTTACAGTTTCTGAGCTCTTAGACAAAAACGCTTTAAAGTACAATTATGCCTTTTTTTTCTCCGTTAACATACTGCTGCCTTGCACTGAAACTCTGCCAGAGTTTAAGCAAAGGTGTTCTAAAAACACAGAAGCAAGCTGATGAAAGGACTTCTATTCTTTGTATTCTGTTTCAGGTTTATTAATGCCAGAAGAAGAATAGTACAGCCTATGATTGACCAGTCAAATCGAGCAGGCAAGTTCCAAGTACTATCTGTATTCAAGTCCCACAGGCACAAATCCTCATCAAGTTATTCTTCAGGAGTCCCATCACCTGGTAAATAAATGCTTCGACCAGGCATTCTGGGAGATTATTTTTTCTTATGTCCCCAGAATTCCGCTGTAGGAAGCAACTTCACTAATTGGTGCTAATTGGAGATTTCCCACCCTGACTCTACTGAAACTGCTTTTTATTTTCTCTCTGAATTGGTAATTGGGTACAAGTACTAGTGCCACAAGCAGTTTGTTTGACTGTGAACTCTTGAATTACTCATTGCTTGTCTGCATCCAATCAGCAGGACAATCTCATTTTCTTGCTACCCACAACTCCTTGGTGTATGCATTGCTTTCACTTCTGGAGGGCTAGCTGTAAAACTCATTGTATCTATTCATTTGCTTTGACTATTCACAATATGCTACTAACGCCTGACGTGCTACCATACTGACAAAAAAAATATTAAAAGATTATTACTTTTGTTTAAGAATGCACCAGATATGTTGCCCCTAAAATACATTAATTTTCTGGCAATCTCTCCTGTCTTCATTTTTATTAAATCATTTATAATATGTAACTCTTTAAAACAGTTACTTGTCCAGTGCTAATCATGCAACTTTGTAATATGCATTTCCTCAGCCTTCTAGGGAGTTGTGGTTTTCTGCGGTGAGGTTACGGTATAAAACTGTTCTCCATGTGGTGATGACTGTTGTCACTAACAAGGGCTTTAACTTGATGGTGATTTCGCCTGCTGCTTTACTTCAAAGGTTTTTGAAAAGGTTATTAATCCTTTGGGAAAATCTTCCTATGTAGCATTAAATTTATTCTTCACTAACAGGTGAAAAAGGGGAAACACTAAAGCAAAGCACGCAAAATACTAAGAACAAAGTATGTATGTTAACATGAAAAGTAATGTCCAGCATTTCCCTTCCCACTAAAGAAGGTGCAAGTATATTTGTGTTTTATAACAGTAATGTGTTTGACCACAAGTACCCTGTACCACAAACTGCAGCTTCTCAAATTTAAACAATTAGCAAGGAATGCACTAAGTGCTCACTTCATTAAGAAAAATACAAAGCACTGAGAGAGGGTTCCACTGTTTTGCATTAAAGGTAAGTAAAGCAGCAGATCCTATGCAACAGGACTGACTTGACAAACTTGTTTATTAGGCCCCCCTATAACATTTTTATTCTATAGTCCTGGTAACGTAATCAGCTCATAAAAACACAACCTGTTTGAAAGTGACAGCCAAGATATTGAATGTAGTGTTTCAGTGTTGAGACTGGAACAATTGCTGATTGTTTGG